TGTTGGTTCAACATCTTCAAAGGCATCAACAAGTACTGTTAGCTCAAGAAAATCAACATGGAGCTACGATATTGATAGATTTAAAGGACCGTCAAAATTGCCAAAGAAGATTAAGGGTGCAGGAGGTCATGACATCTGGGCGCAAGCTTACACATTTGGCGGGCGATGATATGGCCTAGGCCTGTTCCTTCTCAAGAAAGGCGACGAAGTCAAGTCCAATTTTCACCGACAAACAACCAAAGTTGGTGAGCAATATCCGTGTGGTGAAATGTCTCCATTCATCGATGATCCAGGTGCTGAAATATCTTGATGACAAAATGTTGTTGTCACATTACCGCCATTTCTTCTACTTCCGTCAAACCGTTTTTGTTTAACGAATAAACAAGTTTACAGAGGAAACGTCAACATGGCTCATTGATTTGAGGGAAGTGACTGGCGGTTGATAGTTTGTGGTGAAGTTTCATCTGATTCGAAAATATATATTTATATATATAGTGGCTGGTAATATGAATTAAAACATTTTTTGCTAGGCTCACATCCCAATCTACACTAGGCCTAAAATAAATACTAAATCTGGAGTAACTATGGACTATAGTGACTCCCATTGCCCCTAGAATACACCCCTGATTCACTGAATAAGCTGGTTTACAACCTACCCCAAAAAAGATCCCCATTTGACCCCTTCCCTCAATTTTAAAGTTTCCTTCCTGTCAATCCATTTTTAAATAAAAATAAATCATAATTCTGTTGGGTTAAGCTTGCCTCCTGATGAAATAAAGTTCCCTTAACTTTTTACAACACTTAAAGTATTGTATCCCGATGGCACATCTGGATAAACTGAATGGTGAAGGAAAAGAAAAGTTCAACTTATATGGGAAAGAATTTGAATTGCTAAACTTTGAAACCCCGCCCCCCTCCCCCCACCCCCACCACACACACACACACCCTTTTCACAGGTTTTTAAAAGACAGCCTACATAATTTAATCCAGATCTATGAAATTTCTTAGCTGTTTTCCCGGATATCAGCTTTGCATCCCTTTTCAGGATGCAAATCATACAAAATCATAGGAAAATTTTGTTAGTCTTATTCTTTCAGCTAAATGTTTTGTTAAGTTTTGCCTAAAGCTGTTCTCACGACAAATCTAACACACTGGTGGTCAATTAACAACAGACAGGAGTTCTTGGTGGGAAACCATGTTAACAATTATCCTTTGTGATGCATTGCTTTTGAACAATGACATACAGCTGCCTTCGGCCATTATCATCATTAAGGTATCTGCTTGCATGTTGCATGAATTCTATAGAAACTCCACCCTACAGTTATGCCTAGTTGGGCATCAGTTATACCTCAGGTGGTATTCTGCGGTTCCCATACTGGTAAATTTATTTTGATTAAAATTCACACTTCTAAACAACTGATGCTTGATTTCTAAAAATAGATCAGAGGTATGATGCATGGCATTTCAGCTGTTGTTTCCTCATTTTGGCATTCTATCCCAGGACTCATTCATCAATGATGCACAGTTTGAATTCCATTTCTAACTGGCATATTTTTCCCAGTGATGAGATTTCTAACAATCAACACGAACCACTTCCTTGTGGGTTTTAGAAATTGCATTCCCAGTCACCAATACCACCTAATAAACTTGTGAATAACTAATTGCAAAATCCCACCACATCACCAAGGAAACCTGCATGAGGTTCCCACCAGTAAATTTGTTCTCTTTATCAATCCGTTTAATATCAATTATGAATCATGCTACTTGTCAATATTTAGAAATGCATATTGTATATAAACAAAGAAATTTGGTTCAATTTAGGAATTGTTAGTAAAGATTGAGTTATTCAAATTTTGTATCATAAGATTTTTATTGTTTTTTATATTTAATATAAAATGGAGTTAAATAATTGTGGCTTTGTTTTCTTTATTGTATTTCTCACTTGGTTAAAAAATCCCATGCTTTAAAGGACTTTGTAGTTATGTTATTTTTAGGTTCAAATGCAAAAACATACAAGGTCTTTTGAAAAACGTTCAGAAATAAACGTAATGCTTTTCCAGGACAAAGTTTTTTGATAACTTCTATATGGGTACAAGATTTCTAGTATTAAAATTTCTGCCGTGTGTACAAGATTGAAGAAACTGCAACTTGTATTAAGTAGAATTATTTCAATTAGGCAAAGAATTGGAGCTTAGTTCTTTGCACATGAAATGGGGGGGGGGAGGGGGCTTAGAAAAACCTGTTTTTGGAATGAGCGTTGAGAGTTTTATTGGAAAAAAAGACGTGGGATTTTCTGAGGGGCAAATCACTCCAAAAAATCTCCTACACCTTTAGTGGAAATCCTATTGTTTTATCTGGAAATCCTCAAAAATCCTTTTGTTTCAGGGAAAATCTCGTACGCTATTTGCAAGAGTGAATTGCCCCTGGGGATTTTCTAGGTAAGCTAGAACCAGTTTGGTGAGGTCAAAAGATACCAAAATGTAACATGTTCTCCGAATTCAATAAAATGGGCCTAAATTCGTGGATTGGACAACAAACCAATATCTTTTTTATAGTTAGTTGCATTTGGCAAGGCAACCTAAATTTCATCAAAATAGGGCAGATAGCTGACTCTCTTGAGCTACTCTACGTTTTTCTAAGGAACCAATTCACTTATTCCGGTTTTGAAATTCAATCATCGATATCTTTTAACGAGTAACATTATCTAATACTTGATTATCCTAACAGCTTTACATGCTAACCACATACCAAGGCACCGTTTCATTATACATAAACAAGTTTATTTTCCATTGACGCAGTTGGAAGGTCTCCAGAACAATAATAAAACATTAACATACCTCTGAAGCTTGTATTTTTTCGGAAATGCCCCAGTTTTGAGCAAAAATACCATCAGGAAGACGAAAAGAGGATTAAAATTTTCCAAGTCACGTTTCGAATTGTCAATTTCCCGCAATTTTCAATTTGCTCCTTCTCAGCAAAGAGTAATCTCCCTCCGCAGAGGGACATGGGTGCCCCCTTCGCAACAACAGATCAACAATGCATTGAAGGGGTGCATGCTCCCAGAATTGGAATCCTATAGCTCCAAGAGAGGGTTTACAGCTGGAAAGCATTTGTACAAATACGCTCCTTTTATATCTTCACCCTTTCCAGCGAGATTACAACTTTGCCGTTATTTATACCGTCGAATCACCATCAGACCCCTCTTTCCATTAACTGTTGAAGTCCATCCTTATTCTGTACTTTTGTTAAAGTGAATCTAGCTAAACTCTGTAGACCCTGTTCTGTTGCATTTCAACAAAGATTAATCTTGTCACAGTTGAAGAAGCATTTACACACCAAGACGGGAGAAAGCAAAGAGTAATTCTTTCAATTAGCATACGAGATTTTCATCAAAGCAATAGAAATTCTAGGAATTTCCAGATAAAACAGAAGGATTTTAAGAGATTTTCAGATATAATAATTGCTTTTCCATAAAAGGTGTACAAGATTCCCATGGAGTGATTTGTCCCTTGAAATACAGGGGACAAACCAATGAGTAAACCCTTTTCTCTCTTCACCTCCCTACGTTTCAGGGTGACATATGTCTGCACAACTGAAAATTGTCTGCTCTCAAAATCGAAGAAGCCAACACTGAAGTACAAAGCACTTGCTCGAACAAAGAAACCCCTTGATGACGTCACGATCGAATTGGTAAACAAATCTCTCCAATTTCAAAGCTCAAAAGTCTTAAATACGCATGACCTGCTAATTCTGCGACGACAAAATTTGCAGAGACTAGCAAATACGATATCAAGTAGATTCTAATGTAACACGAGGCATTCGACTCAAATTTCAAGGATGGTTTAGTAAAGGCTGGTACGGGTTAATCTCTAGCCTTTGATTTCAAATTAATATTACCACCTTGGTATTATCAAAAGAGTTCTGGAGGTATGCGAGGTTCCTTAATGTATCAATTGATGGTGGTGATTGCTGATTGACTGATGATTGCGATTCGATGAAGGAAATTATGATTGGTGATTATTATGATTGATAGATGATTGACAGATGGTTGACAGATGATTGCTGATTTGACAATGGTAAAGATGATTGGTGATTGGTGATAAGGCCAATTAGATCAATTGTTTTGACATCCAAATTTCTCCATTTTGGCCGTTTCTCCAGATCCCTGGGCCGTCATAAATTGATTTGAACGAAAAATCAAAAGTTTCCAGAATTCTGGCCGCACGTTGCAAAAATCACAAAAATGCAAAGGAAACAAAAACTTTTGACACAGATTGTATTCAACATTTTTTGGAATAATTTCAAAATTGTAAATGACGAAACATGAAACAAAGTCTAAGATAAAAGATAAAGTAAGATAAAAGTTAGTTAAAGCTTTTATGACTTACAAAGCAAATTCTGATTACCCTATCACTCCCCGCAATTAGCAAAAATTTAGCTTTTTTGTATATTTCGTTTAGCTGGCTGAATTTGGCCGCCAACCATAAAAAAGTGGCTGCCAACCACTCCAAACATCTGGCAAAACCCTGAGAGTAGAAAGTCACAATTTACGCCTAAAATTAAAGCCGCGCATTCTGGTGTAAAGTGTTTGCATTTGGTAACGATAGACAACGGATCAATGGAAACAATCTTTTTTTAGAAAAGTATCAGAATTATGCAAGAGTTATGGTAGATTCCAAATTATGCTATATTTTATGCTAAATGACTAAAAACATCTTTGGCTAATATTATGCTAGATCTGGTTACGCTGTTTTTATGGCAAAACAGATCAAATTGGATTCGCATTTGACACTGAGACATCTTGGCTCTCATTTCCATCAAATCACGTCTGGTATAATTACACTCTCTTTGTAAGAACCAGTAAAGTTATTTTCAGGCTGACTGCTCTTAATTTTTTCGAAAATCTGAGGCTGAATTGTTCTTAATTTGTTCTTAAATTAAAAGGGTGTAAGCAGTGCGATTGCTAGCTTTTTCACTCCAGGGTGGTGTTCAGGCCTCATTTGCCAACAAAGTGAGTGAGACGAACTTGATTTGCCACCAAGTTTGAATATTCACCGAAAAAGCACCAACTCATGGCTAAAACTCCTCGTTTTTTGAGATGAAACGTTGTTCAAAACTACATTTTATAGTAGCTTAGCCTCGGCTTGTTCTTAATTTGTTCTTAACCTTTGACCAATTTTGAGGCTCGTATTCTTCTGAGATTGTTTTTATAAAAAGAGCGTAGTGGACATTTCATGCCGTGGCGCAAAGAATACGCTCAAAAGAGTTATCCTCCGTCGGCCTCAAACAACTGTTAAAATTTAAAAAGTTTCAGTTACAACCATGAATTAGACGAATAATTATCATGTTTATGGTAACTCATAGCAACATGACAGGTTTCATTGCTTCTGCTCACTGAAGCGAATCAACTAATTGGCGCGAACATCACGTCACCAGCCAAAATGGCGGCCCGCTCGCAGCGTTTTTGGAGAGCTGCGGATTTTTTTCAAAAATCTCGCCAATATTAGAACCGGATTTGCATAATATTTGCGAAAGTCTGTTCAAACAATTTTATTTTATGATTTATGGAAAACATGTGAATTGGTTGCATGGGAATGGAGAAGTTTTTGAACTTTCAGACGATGCCTCATCTTTGAATGGATGCGTGACATACAGAAAGGATGCAACAATTAGGCCAGTTTGCCGGGAAATGAAATTTTCTGATAGAGCAAAGATTCTGAAAAGAAACAACATTGAATCCGACACATTCACTCTGGCAAGTTTTGTCTGCAAAAACAACGGAGTTAATTGCCACGGATCAAGCAACTAAAGAGATATTCAGCGTTGTGGCAAAATAGAAGACGCAAAAAGGACAACAGATAACAAAAATCGCAAAACTATTTCTGTTGATTTGTTTTTGCTGCTGTGGAAAATAAAAGAGAAACAAGTGAAGTACAAGAAAGGTGAGATAAAACAAAGTGCTGACAAACGCTGATAAATAAAACTGTACAAGACAAGTTGGAATGAAACTAAAACGCTGAATTTGCACCGCTTTGAAACGCAAGGAAGGGATTGCAATCTGTTAAAAAACTTGGGAATTAAAAACTTGAAACAGAGAACAACTTGTTGAATCCTAAAATTTCAAGAAATAGAGCTTTACAAAATAGAACTTCGTCAAGTTAAATTGCTGTTTTGCTGAGGCATCTTTACGTAACATTGAATCGCAAATCGAAACAAGAGGCGTAACATCGAATGCCCGCGAATTTTCTTATGGGTTTTAATGGGAGCAGTACTGAATACCGCGGGTGCGGCTGAAATCGCAGCAGAGCTCGCGTGTTGCGCGTGTTCCTCCGTTTGTGGTTTTCTCTGTAAAGATCAAGCCACGCGGGCGAAACTTCGATACTGTACGATACTTTTATTTGCAACAATCATGTGCTTTGTAATGCTCGTTCCGGGAATGCGTCGAAGTATCGACAGAATACCGAACTTTTGCGGGAAACTCGTTACAAGTGAGACCTGCGACAGATTTTTCGGTTTCGGCGCGGTGTACCGCATAATGTTATCAATGACAAGCTTTTATGGTATATTCGCACTTTGGACAATCCGCGTCACACGGACAAATAGTTTTCGCGCGAAAGTACACAACGGATTCTGGATCGCAAAGTTAGTCATATTAGGCGGTATAACGGCTGGAACGTTTTTTATACCGAAGAAATCCGAGTTTTTCCGTATATGGATGTATGCGTGCTTGGTCGGTGGTTTTGTATTTATGATGTATCAAATAGTGATGGTGATAGACTTCGGACATTCGTGGAGCGTTTCATGGGCGGAAAAACTCGACTCAAATAGTTCCAAACTCTGGTATTTAGCAATGGTCCTATCAACTATATTAATGTTCGTAATTTCGCTTGCGGCAGTTGCGACGTTTTATGTCTTCTTCGCGGGTTCGCAAGCGTTCAAACAGTGCAAAGCGAACATGTTCTACATCACTTTTGTTGTCATTCAATGTTTCCTAGCAACAGTAATATCTGTAATACCCACAGTGCAACAGGAGCTTGAAGGAGCTGGTCTGTTACAATCATCAGTGGTGATTCTGTATACGGTGTATCTCACATTTAACACGTTGTCCACCGAGCCGGATGCGATTTGCAACCCTCTTGGAAAGGTGATATTAGATTATGACAAAATGTCAGGAATAAACGGCGAGGCACTTTTCGGATGCCTGTTAACATTTGCGTTGATAATCTTCGCGTGTACAGTGCGTGCGCATACAACGCATTTCGGAAAATACGGACTGGCTCTTTCGGAATCCGAGGAGTATGCGCTAACGACTTTTATGAAGCAACAAGAGAAAATGCCAAAGGATGGCGAGCAGCCTGAAATATCTCTTGATGATTTTGTGGGCTGCAATTATTCGTTGTTTCATTTCATAATGGCATTGGCATCATTACATCTTCTTATGATTCTTACGAACTGGCATTCACCCGATCAAAGGTCAAGCATGAAGCGACTTGTTAAAAACTGGGCCTCTGTTTGGGTGCAAATGGCATCGAGTTTCATTTGTATATTGATATACATATGGTTTTTAGTTACCCCCCTAATAAGAAAGTTGTGGGGTCCACTGTTTGGGATACCGTTAAATGAGGATGTTTATAAAAGGTTCAATGACCAAGGTCATAATATCATAGTAGCAAAGGACAAGGTAGCAAAGGACAATGTAGCAAAGGACAGTGTAGGAAGGGACAAAGTAGTAAAGGACAATATATTAAAGGGTAGGTCAAATGACAAAAAAGAAGACGGGGGTACGCTTGAGAAATACAGCAATGACGTTGGTGATAAATTTGAGCCGGACATATCAATGGGAAGCATCAAAAGGTTGAAATCCATGGAGAGTTTACGATCTGCAGTTTCCTCTGTGACAAAACGCAAATCGAGGCTGAAACATGATGGAGATGGTAGCCGGTCACAAGTAAACTATTCCGATCAATCAAATGATAAATTTGTTGATAATGAAAAACAACATAGAACAAAAAGAAAAGGCCTAACGCGGTTCGGTTCGATCGAAAGTTTACGATCCGGATTTTCGGTAATATCCACGGCAACAAGTGAAGTTAGAGAAAAAATTAAGAGAAAATTAAAGAGGAAGAAGAAAGAGGATAAAATCAGAGAAAATGAGCAATGTGATGATGATTCTAAAGTAAATATAAACAATGTCGATGAGACGAAAGGTGTCCGGAAAGAAAATGAAGGGCGGGTTTTAAAATTGAAAAATTCCTTTGTAAATAGTAGGAAACCGGGAGAGGAGCGGATGAGAACTATCCAAGACCGGTTACAACGAAGCTACGATAGTAATTGGTCAGATGGTAAAAGGAAAAATAGAAGCAGACCCGTCAATAACATGGAACCGTTGACTCAAGATGTGACGTCAGGGAAACAGTTACCAGAGAGACAGTTGCTAGGGAAACAGTTTCAGAACGAACAGACACGAAATATCGAAAACGAACAACAGTTAGAGCACAAAACAAAAACAAATGACATTGCTGCGAGAGAACTGCAAACCGAAATTTATTCTGAAAATAGGCCCGCAGAACAATGTGCGGGAACAGTCAATAACAAGCAGGAAAGACCCCTGTCTAGCGCATCATATTACGGTACAAGCACGTTTCAAGAGAAAGCGCAGGACCCGCAAGTTGCCCGCGAAATGCTGCGTTTGCAGTGGAAGATACTGAGAATGCAGGCAAAAGTTGTCAAGATACAAGAAAAGATCATGAGGATACAGGCTGAAGACGAGGCGGCAAAGAAAAATGCAATGGAGGCTGCAGAAAGATTGGAGCCACCGTTAGGCCAAAGCTCTATGGTGGCTGGAGATGTTTACATGAGAAATAAGGAAGTAGAATTTGAGATTTCCAGGAAGGAACATGGATGAGAATTGGGTTTCCAAGAAACTCGTACGCTCTAAATAATTCACAAATATATTAAATTGATAATTTATTGATTTCATTTTTATTAACTTGTAAATATTAAAATTTAAAACTGAATTTTTTATGAAAAGGGGTGAATAAAAAACAAAGCATCTATGGTGAATGCAGCTGGATTCTGTGATTTACACATGCTTGGGCAGACATAACTAAGCGGAAATGATTTTAGCTAACAGAACAGAAAGAGTGAATGGCATAAAAGAAAAATTGATGCAAAATCAGGGGTGCAGTTCAAAAAAAATAACAAGGGGGCACAAAATGTTTAAAAAGGAACAACAAAATGTTTCAAAGAGAAACTATTTTTTCGGCTTTAACAAAGGGGGATAGCCCCCTAGCACTACACCCCTTGACGGAACAATTGTGAAGCATTTTGATATTCAATTTCTAGAAAAAAACATCAAAAAATTTCCTAATTTGAAAATGACTTTGAAAGCGAAAAATCATTCAAAGAATTAATTCCCTGTCTAGTGAAAATTAAATAGCTAGAAAAATTTAGAAATCTGGTTCGGATTCATTATTATTTAGAGCTACAAGACGAAGAAAAGTTTAACAAAAAGACTGCAGGGTAATTTTCACTTTTCTTAAAACAAACTCAACTTGTACAGTTTCTTAATCTATAAAAATAAACTATTTTTGAAATAACATTATATCTTTGTTAATCTGCGAAGCTGCTTCGAGTCTAAGAAGGGTTCGTGGACAGTGGCATTTTAAAAAATAAAGCGCTGTTATAATGTGGGGGTCTATGCAATTCAGGGTTTTAAAACATTCAAGGGGCATCGATTTTAAAGTTAGTTGTGTGCGGTAAGGGAAAAGGCAACGGGGGGTAGAAAAATCCACTAGGGCAGGAAGAATAAAAGGGGTTAGGTTTAGAAGATGAGGCTAGGTTTGTTGATGTTAGTTTTGACCTTGGGCAAGTTAGACAAAATACTCACAAAGAAGAGCTTAATAGAACCTCCAGGATAAATAGAACGAATATAATTTTCCTTGAAAAAATAAAAAAAACCTTGTTATAATTACTAGACTAATTGGAAAATGTCTTATGGAGGGCCTGATAACTGGAAAAAGCTTTAGATTGCCAAATCTGGAATGCAAATAGGAGCTACGACGCAATTTGACAAGTAGGGAAAGCAGGTGCAATATCATGGTAAATAATTTGGTGACAAAGCATTTTTCTGCGGAAAACTGGTAGGGCAAAACTTTCTATATGATCCTGCAGGTTGGATGGCACAAATCAGGAAATAGCGAGGAAATTGATCTTTATTAGCAGCTAACTAGGGCTGAGAAAATAAATTCAAACACAATTTTGAACAGAGGAAAGGGTTGTAGAAGGGGGTAAAAAGATGCGGTATGAAAACTGATAAGGGAAAATGGGGTTCAGAAAAATTAATCACCCGTAAAAATCCACGACACAAAATTGCTTCATTATAACTCAAAAAGTAAGTGACAAAGACGTCTACATAAGAAAAGGCGAAAAATATCTGGAATGGTTCTTGAAAGGAAGGGCGAAATTGGATTTAGGACTTTCAAAGTAAAAAACTAACTCAACTCGAGGCATTGTGGCTTAAATCACTCTTATCTTATTCTGGGCTTTGTGAATTAAAAATGACAATATGGGCAATAGTTAAAAATATCGACAATTAAATTCAATTTCCTTTTAAAACATTTAAAAGTTGAAAAATTTAATATAACCCTGGAATTCAATATATTATACATCATATAACATATAATGTACTTGGAGACAAAACAACATCTTACTTCAGAACAAAATTGAAGTTATGAAGACAACAAAACAGTTGAAAAAATATTATATACAATTGAAGAGCGAAATATCACTTTGAATTTTATAGTACTTTACTCGGAATATTTTTTTTGAATATTATATATTTTCGGCAATTTCATATATCAATTATTTAACTCATATCACACTTATCATTTAGGTTTTGTCATGATATATTATTTTCAAAAAACATTTTATATTCATAATAAGATATGACAAAAAGAATATGAGGGATAAAATTGATTCACTCTTTTATTTTTTAATAAACACAAAATAAAGATATTCAATCAATTTCTTACAGTGAAATCAATCAAAAGGATGAATATAATAATAAAATAAATAAATATTGGATATAGATGATATTTAATGCGATGAATATTATTTTTTCAGATTAAGAAAGATTACATCGATATATGGTTTAAAGAAAGATATATTATATATTTCATATGAAAAATATATTCTGTTAACTGCAATTCATAGCTTTGAGTTGTATGAAACAACACGAGTCACTCTGTATACTTCAAATAAATAAATAATTGATCTTATATAACTGAACTTAAATTTTTTTATATTTATTATATGAATTGAGTGAATAGGCATATAATTCCAATATTAATCTGAATTTGATGATATCTTATACACATGTGTATCATTTCCCAATATATATTGGATAATTATCATTGTATCATTTCCTTATTTTGATTAATCCTTTAGCATTAAAATATTTCGCAACACCCTACGTAAATTTCTCTTTACCATTTTCATTTAGGGAATTCTACTTCCAAAACTGTCTCGAATAATAAAACCAACATTTTGAGAACGAATTATCGAATACAACGAAAATCAACCAAACAAGGTAATATTTTGAAAACAACTTTGAAATTTACAAAAGCAACTTCTAAAGCTGCCTACGAGAATATAACACAAAATGCAACAATTTACAAGACTGTATTTTCTTTGCATACCACCTCGTGTAACACAGAATTTTTTCGCTGGTATTCTATATTCCAAAAACAAAAAGTTTCAAACTTCACGCAAGGAATTTCAGGAATTAGCTCTGAAAATATCGGTTTAAAATCTTGAGCTTCAAATTCCACACAAAAGCGAGCCATTCGACTATCATGTTTTCAAACTTTCCATCACCGAATCAACAGCCACAAACATAAATCATTGTCAATCAAGCAATCACTCACCGATCAAAGCTAATCACATCTTCTCCACAATCAAGCATCTTCATGGCTTTGGCAATCTTGAACACTTAATCAAAAAACAACCACTGAATCAAACAGGCAATCACTGATCAGTTGACAAGTTTCAGCGCTCTTCTTCTCTGAAAGGTCCGTCTCGAGATTCGCGTCCTTTTCTTGGCAATGTTTTCATCTTGGGTTCTGTTTGGGACATTTTCGTGCTTTCTTTCATTTCTCGAATAACGATTAGTCCTAAAGGAGAAGGACGATACTTAGAATTAATGAATTGATGAATTAATTAATGAACCTCGTCGATTTATAACTGCTAGATCTCGTTAAGGAAATACAGTTTAAATCACTGAAAACGACGGTTATTTCATTTTAACATACTTATTCAACATAAGGTTATTGCTTTACAAACTGCCTGTTGAGGATTACAATTCATACAAACTGCATAAAAGAAAGAAAGTAAACAAAATATTATAGTTATAATTAATCATTAATTACAAACTTCAATCATATTTACATGGACTTGTTAGCATGAGGGACACAGTGACAACTACGTTTTTTAATACCTCCTTTTATAACACCTGTTTATATAGGGCACCTAAAGCAAGGGACAATTCCAAACAACGGGCACAAAAAGTGCAACTCCTAGCAAAAAATGAAGTGTCGAGTGCTAACATGATTAATACTAAAAAATGGATTGAAATGAGCCAACGAGAAATAGGGTAACTCTGACTGGCTTCACTTGAACCAATATGGATTGAGATTGGCTTTACCTGGGCCAATTGGCACCCTTTAGCTTCTCACGTTGGTAAATGAGTGTAACAATGATAGAGGTTTAAGGACAGTTTAAGTGTCCTTTGACCTTTTATAAAGACAGTTGAAATGTCCTTTAACCTTTTATATAGACAGTTGAAATGTCCTTTAACCTCTCATATAAAACTGCTTGTAAGCAGTTTCTAATTTGAGGTACAAAGAATTTTTTCGAATTGACGCAAATTTGAAATTTACATGTTGACATATAAGAAAATAAAAAGCAAATACATAAATCTCACTTTTCTCGCACTGGTTGCCTGTGCTGATGTATGTTGGAATCCCTGCGTCGCCTCCTCCGCAGTTGTGGTATGAAGACTGGTAGCTCATCACTGTGTTCAGTACAGGATGACTGCACTGGGCTGCAACCAAAACATTTTAAGGTTCAGCTACCGAAAGTAGAAGTTTTAGTTTTGCAAAGGGTACAGCAGGAGCGAGTAAATGTAATGGGTTATAGGAACAGAAACAGAAGTAGCTGTTTCATAGAGTTTTATCGTCCTGTAGTGTTGCATAGTTATTTAAAGTATAGTAGAATGTAGCCTGTGTTTGTAATATTTTATATGTATATAAAAAACAGAAGTGGCTTGTAATTTTATTGGGGAAAATACCATCAAGGGCCAAGAAGGACTCTCCTACAGTGCAGACGAGAAGCTCCCTGCAAGAAAGATGAATTGTCCCTACATAGTAGAGACCGGGCTCCCTACATTGCAGATCAAAGGGGTCCCTACAAGGCAGATTGGGGGTTCATACACAGCAGAGATTGGGTCTCTACGCTGCAGATGCGAGATTCTCTGCAAGGCTGATAAGGGGGGCTCCTACAGTGCAGACGAGAGGGTCCCTGAAAAGCAGAAGGGGTCTTTGATTAACAAAAAAACCTTTATACTTACAATGATTAAACGCCACAACGATTAACTGAAAAACTTTTATACTTAACTAAAAATTTACAAACCTGGTCGTTTCGTCACACAGGCTCTCCATATATCGTAGCCTGTTGGGGCGTTTTCTGGCGATGGGTTCTTCAACACCGAAAACTCTCTTTCTCCCCCCTTTGCTTTCAGCCACAGGAGGCAGCTGGGTGAAACCGAGGCTTGACTGTGTTGGTGTTTCCTCGCAAACTTGATCAATTCCAAGCTCCTTCGTAGAAGGTACTTCTAGACTCCGTCCAATGACTGTCTCCGCGCCAATGCCAAAGGGGTCTTCAGGAATGAAGGACGGTTTTGGATACAAGAATGAGGCTAAAAGATCACTTTCGACAAGATCTTTGGCAAGAATTGTTTTCGGATTGTCTAAATTGCTTTTGCCCAATAATGCAATGCTTTCAAGATGTTTCAAGGCTTTGGTATCTTCGTCTTCTGTAATAAATAAATAAATAAATAAATATTGATGCTGAGAAAAATATTGAAAGCCTTCTTGTAGCGTGTACGGATCTTTCGATAGCGTTGAGGGACACATGCTTAGGCCCTAAGAGAGACAACCGGGCCTAAGCCGAGCTGAGAGAGACAACAGGGCCTAAGTCGAGCTGAGAGATACAACAGGGCCTAAGCATGGCTGAGAGAGAGACAACAGGGCCTAAGCCGAGCTGAGAGAGACAACAGGGCCTAAATCGAGCTGAGAGAAATAACAGGCCTTAAGCCGAGCTGAGAGAGACAACAGGGCCTAAAATTAGAGGGACAACAAGGCCTAAGCCGAGCTGAGAGAGAACTTAGGGCCTAAGCCGAGCAAAAGGCCTAAGCCAAGCTGAGAGAGACAACAGGGCCTAAGTCGAGGTGAGGGAAATAACAGGGCTTAAGCCGAGTTGAGAGAGACAACAGGAACTAAAATGAGAGAAACAGCAGGGCCTAAGACGAGCTGAGAAAAATAACAGGGCTTAAGCCGAGCTGAGAGAGACAACAGGAACTAAAATGAGAGAAACAACAAGGCCTAAGCCGAGCTGAGAGAGACAACAAGGACTAAGCCGAGCTGAGAGAGACAGCAGGGCCTAAAATGAGAGAGACAATAAGGCCTAAGCCGAGCTGAGAGAGACAACAAGGACTAAGCCGAGCTGAGAGAGACAGCAGGGCCTAAAATGAGAGAGACAACAGTACCTAAGCCGAACTGAGAGAGACAACAGGGCCAAAGCCAAGAAGAGAAAGACAACAAGACCTAAGCCGAACTGAGAGAGACAGCAGGGCCTAATGTCACTATAAGTTATATCATCGTTTTCTATTGCCTTGTGCATTTGTTATTAATTTCATATTTACTTTAAATAAAACAGAACAAAAGCAATTACATACGTACCTCCAAACGCAGGCTCCTTCACAGCAATCTTCGCAGGGCTTTTACTCTCCTCCCTACGGTCATCAATTTCACATAACGTGCTAAGTAGCTCCGCAGCAAGTCTATCTTCTTCGCTTCTGCCAATCCATCGTTCATCATCGCTCGTTATATAATCATAGTCTTTATTTTTATCGTTTATCTTTTTATTTTGTTTCTCTTCTTTCTTTTTCTCCTTTGTCATTCTATTTTTCTTCAAAACTTTCATTGATAAATTTCCCGCCATTGACTGCAAGGGTGAAGCATCAGAGCTGGCTAGGCCATGGTCCACGGTTTGGTACCATCTTGGACTGGCCTGATTCTCGATATCGTAATCGAGGCAGTTAACAGAAAACGTCTGCGGGGTTTCGATCACAGGAGAAGACTGGGCACTAAATGAGAGATGATCCAGTGATGGAGAGAAGACAAAACGCTCCGGAGAAAAAATTGGGTTGGTTGCAGAGCGCTCTTGACCAGCAATGGCAGGCGAAGCCTAGAATTGAGAATAAGGACTGTTTACTTTTGTGAATTTGAAAAATTAATCAAGCATTAGATTGAAGGGTGTTGGATTTCAATGGATTTTGCTGGATTGCGTTAGATTTCATTGGATGGTATTGGATTATTTTGGATTGCTTTGGATTGCATCGGATTTTATCAGATTGCACTGCCATGTAATTCACCTTCCTACATTTGAAATCTTCAAAAGACACCTTTCTACAACATACAACTCCCAACAACAAACAACCTTCTTAAGGGGACATCTCCTGACCACGGACCACTCTTGAGGGGGCATCTCCCCAAAGCGGACAACCCTCTTAAGGGGACATCTCCCAAAAGCGGACAACCCTCTTAAGGGGACATCTCCTGACCACGGACCACTCTTAAGGGGAAATCTCACAACAACGGACAACTCTCTTAAGGGGACATCTCCCAAAAGCGGACAACCCTCTTAAGGGGACATCTCCTGACCATAGACCATTCTTAAGGGGACATCTCCCAACAATGGACAACCCTCTTAAGGGGACATCTCCAAAAAGCGGACAGCCCTCTTAAGGGGACATCTCACGACAACGGATAACCCTCTTAAGGGGACATCTCCTGACAACGGATAACCCTCTTAAGGGGACATCTCCTGACAACGGATAACCCTCTTAAGGGGACATCTCCCAAAAGCGGACAGCCCTCTTAAGGGGACATCTCCTGACAACGGACAACCCTCTTAATGGGAAATGTCACAACAACGGACAACCCTCTTAAGGGGACATCTCCTGACAACGGACAACCCTCTTAAGGGGACATCTCCTGACAACGGACAACCCTCTTAAGGGGACTTCTCCTGACAACGGACAACCCTCTTAAGGGGACATCTCCTGACAACGGACAACCCTCTTAAGGGGACATCTCCTGACAACGGACAACCCTCTTAAGGGGACATCTCCCAAAAGCGGACAACCCTCTTAAGGGGACATCTCCTGACAACGGATAACCCTCTTAAGGGGACATCTCCTGACAACGGACAACCCTCTTAAGGGGACATCTCCCAAAAGCGGACAACCCTCTTAAGGGGACATCTCCCAAAAGCGGACAACCCTCTTAAGGGGACATCTCCTGACAACGGATAACCCTCTTAAGGGGACATCTCCTGACAACGGACAACCCTCTTAAGGGGACATCTCCCAAAAGCGGACAACCCTCTTAAGGGGACATCCCCTGACAACGGAAAACCCTCTTAAGGGGACATCTCCTGATAACGGACAACCCTCTTAAGGGAACATCTTTCCACAAAGGTAAGCATAGCTTATCCAACATGTATCTGATGAACTGAGACAACTGTAAATAATTGGTGATGTCCCCTCAGAAGGTATCTGATGACCACTGCAGCTAATTTCCCATCTTACCTTTCCACACGACTCCAGCCCTCCGACTTCCAAGGTGTTGAAAACATCATTTACATAAGTTTGAAAAGTATTCCCTTGCTCCTCTTTTGAATTGGCCTCTTTTTCAAAATACAAATCAAATTCGTGCATGTTCTCAGAATCGTCTGTCAGCGAATCACTGAACGAAAGCTGTGATGACATAGGCATAGAGCCACGTGATCTTCCTTGTGGAAAGGAGGCTTGGATTTCAGAAGGAGACCAGTTGGTATCCTTGGTGATTTTCAGCTCTGGGCTTGTTGATCGATCCCAGTTTGGCACTTCTGGGAGTTTGCCTACACAGCTGCGGTCCTCGCGAAGTTTTCTCCTGATGCTAGGTGACTGTGGAACCAAGAATTCACTCTCTTTGAACAGATTCGTTGCCTCGAAGACAGGGTCTGGGCCTAGCAATAATTGATGACGTGAAACATTACTTCGAAAGAGCATAAGATGCATACAAGAAATCGTACTTTGCAAAAAAATTTAAAAACCTTGATTAAAACCTTTCACAGATTAAATGTCCTGAAAAACAGGAATTGGGGCATGTGGATAAATCATACATGTATCTGAGCGAAGAGGGACACGATGAGCTCAAGGGTTGAGGTGAAATGGGCCACAGAAGAGAACACGTTTGTTGTCATATTCTTGAATTCTGATTGGCTAATGGGGTATGCAAAATTTTGGTCGCTCAGCCACTCAAAGATTTGGAACCTATGCTCCCACTGCCCTATTTCACAAAAACCCATTTAAACACACTGAGCCAAAAGAAGGAGCCCTAGATAACAAACCTTCAGTTATTTTTTCTTGTTGATCAAGTTGAGCAGTTGATCGTAAATTGTATCCAAGTTGACTCATAAGTCCTAAAGAAAAGAAACATTTTAAAAACTAGAACCGAATCTGATACGAAAAATCGATTTCTTGGTAAGCGAAAGGACGGTATAATCTAGACATTTGGGTGCATGTCCTAAGAATAGGGGCACAACAAGAAATTAGGGTGAATGGCACAAAATGTATGATGCTGGAGCATTGTCTAGTGAGAATCGTTTCAACTTCTTTTCCTGACTGTCATTCGAAAGTACTTTAATATCTGTTTACCTTGAACAAATCTAAAAAACAAAGTTTCTTTCGAAAGTAATTTCATGTCTTTTTTCTTTGAATATTTTAAACAAAGTTGAAGCACAATCCAGTTTCTTCAATTCTTGCTGCCTTTTTTCTGCTTACTTTATATATACCATTTTTCTTTATTGATACAAAAATATATTATTTTTGTTCTTTATGCTCTTACAGAATATATGCTTGCTACAGTGGACAAAAGTATCTTAAGATAAACAACAACATCAGTAGCTAAGCAAAATTACGAACCTCTGATGCCAATCTCCATGTTCATTATCGTGTTACATGCTGTCATAATCAACTGAGTCTAAAAAATGAGAAACTTCTTATTGACTTTATATCTGTGGAAAAACTACTTCAAAATTTAGGCCTAATTTTAGTCTTGTGTTTCTTCGCAGAAAATACAATCAAACTTTTAACAGTAGGTTTAACTATAAATTTTTAACCCAACTCAAGGCCTGTGGTTCGGGAAATGAATTTTAGATTTCTCATTCCCTCTTCTTCTGAACTCCACTACTCCTGGTCTGGGGCAAAAAGCTACTTCAAAATTAATGGCATAATTAAGAATTGTTCGAAGAATAATTTTAGGAGTTAACAACCTCGTCAGCTTCTATAGGTGCTCTAGTCAGCTGTTGGACCTCGCGGAGGAGGAAGGCGATTTCTTCATTTGTTTTCCTATAAATTGAAAAGTCAATTCTGTATATATATATACAAGGGTAGGAGAGAAAAAACATTGATTAGAAATAAGAGCATAGATGGGTGTTTAGTTAGAGCCGTAATTAAAGTCATTAAAGATAAACTTGTTATTTACTACAAGTTTATCTTTAATGACACAATCCAGTGGTGGAAATTATTTGGTTTGGAGACAACTAGCCCCCCTTGCCCAATTCGAGCTAATTCGGAAAATGGAAACAAAAATCTGGTAATTTAAAAAGAAAATGTAAAATAAAGTTCACTTAAACATAAAAATGATGAAACTTCTAACGCTGCCCTATGCCCATTACCCCTGTCCTCTAATCCCCGCCATTTCAAAATCAGAATATCCCCCACTTATTTACTCGTACGATAGGGGTGATAACAATGAAAAAATTTTTAGATAATTTTGAGCAGTTTCATATTCGTAATTTTAGATGTATTTATTCGTAAATAATACTACAGGTTTTTAAGCAATTCTAAAGTTTTCAGAAACATTTCGGGGTTTTATGTTTTATGTTTTTCAGAAATATTTTATGATTTTTTCGCAATATCCGATTCTAAAAAATGACTGCCCCTGACTGATATCAGTTTAAAATTGAAAAAAAATTTACTTACGACCAAACAGGTCTGTACTTGGCGGACCTGTCATTCTGCGAATTATATTGGCCATCTCCTAGAGGCAGAATAGGTGGACAAATTATTTTAACGAGTGATATCATTCGGTATTTTACAAAAGACATGCAACACGTAAAAAACCAGTAATTTAGCATGATACTCCCGCAAGAATTGGTTCTTTTGTTTAAACTCCCATCTTTATCGATTTTCTCAAACCTCAGTAGATCATGAAACTCAATACACAATTTTTTTACAGAATTTGAAAATGGCTTTAACATATCAAACAATGTTTTCCTTTGTCAAATCCATTTTCGAAACTTGATATTCTTGGTCCATTTTCGTATACATTGACGGGTAACCCGTTATTCATGGCCCCTGATCAAGTAACGCCTATTAATTTAATCAACGCCCAGGGGGTCAGGTTAAATATTCAGCAGAAATGTCGTTTGAAAAATCTTGTAATATCAAAAGACTAGAGTGTTCTATAATATGGCAACATTGCTTGGAAGATCAGTCTTTTTGTAGAGTAGGTCCTTCGTTTTACAACCCCAGCTCATTTTAACTCTCCCCCATAATTACTTCCCTACATTTAACAAATATCCTCATAAGAAGGAAGATTTCATCAACAAAAGGACATTTAAGGACAGCGAATAGAAGGAGAAGATCAATGGACAGAAGATTTGTTGAAACATTCTTCCATAGCTTCTTTTGGTACAATCACTGCCAAATTTATTTGGAACACCCAACACTTTGCGCTGTGCTTTTCTATTTTTCATTTGTTTTCTTGAATACTACCACTTCCGCCCCCCTTTCCCTCCAAAACAATGTTGAAAGTATAAAAAAATATCAAACAACCCACAAGAAAAAGCGTACTCCATAACCCCTTTCTTTTTTCTATAGTAAATCAACATTGTTCCTAGGGGGAGAGGGGGATGGCTGAATTTGCCTTTGAAAACCTACGTTAGTGTTCCAAGACTTTTGGCAGTGATTGTACATAAGCAAGATGCCTCGCAGAACAGCTTTAGTATGATGATATGGCCTGGTGTGATTTCCTGAAGGTGGTTCCAATTTGACCTCACAACTGGCTAGAGAACAATGTCCCTTTCACGATTTCGCGGTATCACTGAGAAATTTTCCACAAAAAATAATATATAAATCTACTCATTATTCAATCTCTTACTAATTATAATTCTTTTAAGAAGATTAAAAGTAAAAGATAATAAAAATTAAAGATTAAGGTATTTAGATTGGAAAATGAAAACAATGGAATTGAAAGTCTGTGAGTTATTGTGAAATGAATAAATTATAATGAACGTAAGATATAAAATTGACTGTCCATTAATAAATGAGTTTATGAAAAAAGACAGACGGAATCAAAGCTATGTAAGCCGTCAACACAAAACTGCCCACGTTTCATTGTAAAAACCCTTGGTGTTTTGATGTTTGTTAAATTGGATTTTGACTTGTGTCCGTTAAAGTTGATTTTCGTGTCATTAACAACGAAATCAAACAATATCAATACTTGAAATTCGAAGTGGATTTTCGTGGGGTGGGGTCTCCAGGCATGAACACAACTGCTGAAACCAATTTCTCAACACATTCCGAAAAGCTTGCACAATTTTTGCCTAATATCAACCTCCCCTTCTTCTCCCCCCTTCTTCTCCCCCCTTCTTCTCTCCCTTCCTCTCTTCCCCTCCCTCACGTCCCCTCCTTTACTTCCCCTCCTACTATACCTCACCTTCCCTTCCACTCCTCTCCTCTCCTCTTTATTTCCCCTTCTTTTCTCCCCATCCATCTATCTCCTTTCGTCTATCCCCCTCTTTAAAACATTTTACTTGCAATTTTTTCTTTTCAGCTTTTTATCTTCCCTTTCCAATTTAGTTCATTCCAATTTTCCTTCTTACCTTGCTTCCTTCCTCTCTCCTTAATCTCAATCCTTCTCCCTTTCCTCGTCTTTCCGTTTCTTGCTTCTTACCCTTCTTTTGCCTTCCTCGCATTAATTTCTCTTTTCCTTTTCATTTCCTTTCTGTGCCCTTCCTTCCCTGTCTTGTCTTCCTACCTTCCTTTTCTCATCCTTCCTTCATTTCTTATTTCCTAACTTACGTTCCCTCAATCACTCCACCTTCCTTGCCTCCTTTCCTTGTCCTTTCTTTCTTCCTTCCTATTCTTTTCTTTCTTTCTCTGTTTCTGTCCATCTTGCAAAACTTCTTCTTTCCCTTACCATTCCTTTTTTATCAACATACAACTGTCAACAGATCTTTAATTCATCACCCATACCTTTCATTTACACCCTCTTCTAATTTCTCTACATATAAAGTGCGTTCAAGTGTTCTTAAATTGCCACATGACCAAAAATTCTCCCTTTGTACAGTAAATTAATTGGACAGTTTTGTTATCATGGACCAAATCGCAACTAAGTGCTATTTGAAAATTTGATAAGCCGTGTTTAGTAAACAGTCATGAACGATGACCTACCAATTGCTTGCATCCCTAGGTCAGGTACAACTTGGTCTTTCGTTTTCTTGCATCGTCTAAATGTCAGGCCAGCGACCAAGGGTGGCTCCACAATGTTCGTTTCTTTGAGAAAAGAGGAAATATCAATGTGATTGCAACCAAGAAAAGACTGTTTATGCTAAGACTGTAGGAATATATAGTAAATAGAAAGGTATTCAAACCAAAGACTTGAACAAAACAAGAATGGTTTGATGTCTACTATTTAAAAAAATATGAGATGTTTACGAAGAAAGAACTGTACATCCAAATTGGAAAAGCTAATTTTAGGAAAATATTGAACAGGTGATGAAACAATTATAAGAACAACAAACTCTGATGACGTCTTTGGTAACAATTGAAAACGGTTGGATTGAAGGAAAAATTTTAAGAAGGCAAAGAAGGTTGAGATATCTTTTCAACTTTTGCCAAAACATCTGTATTTTGATGCAAATTTTCCAAGTTGCCCCCCCCCCTAAAGCCCCATAATTTCAACACCAGCCCTCCATCCAAGTAACAGCAAATTTAAACAAACCTTTTGTAAGTCTTCCCTTCCCAAAAATCATTGTTCCAGCTTGAGAACACTCGAGAACATAATGCAAAGAATGGGCTGAATCAAATTTGGTACTTCCTTGAAAACAAAATAAGAATTTGTGAAAATAATGGTAGCTAAGGGAAAAGAAGCTCACTCTCCTCAGGGCAATAATTGAAGCTGGTCAAGAAACTCTGTTTATGATAAAAGTGCTTCTAAATTTAGCAAATATGTAGTTGGCCATGAAAAAAATATTTGCCAGTTAAAGTGAAATTACTGTGTTTATTGTTTATCGCTTTGACAAGCTGTTGAAGATGACAATTTTGAAAGGCCAGGACTAGTGTAATAATTAGAGATATATTCTACATCTTGAAGAAATTGAAATTAATGTCACATTGTGACCTGCTTGAAATAAGAAAGTAAATGAAAATTTCATAAATTTTAGAGACGATTAGAAAAATATAGATTTTAAAATTATACAGGGGCCTGTCCACAAAGAAATATTCTAGAGTATGGGTAAAAGAAACCAGTACCCAAATGGGGGTATGTTTCTGGGGTAACAAAAAGAACGGATTGTGAAGTTTAAAGGTCTGGGGTCACAAAGAAAGAGCATTTTTCCAATCTAAAAAATCAAGGCCTAGTTTAAATCAATTTGAATTTATCAACAGGAACTGTGAAATTTAAATGTCTGATGATAACTGGGAAGTTGATTTTTAGCACAGATTTATTTTGTTATGATCTCAAAGATATATTTCTCATCGATACTGATATTAAATTCATTGGGAGCTTTGCCAAAGGCAGATTAAAACTGGAACAGGATGATTTAGATCCCAAATAAATGAAGGTTCTCAAAAAGTTGTTTGAAAAATTAGGGAAAAAATGCATATCATACCTTTAAATTTAGATGCAAATGTATCTTTGGCTCGCAATTTTGAATTTTGACACTGCAAAGTCCCAACTCTCATCTTGTCCTCTGATGTTTTATCAGAGCATCCACCACCTGTTTTCAGCTTTGAAATATGAAGCATTGCATTTTCAGGTGACACTACCTTATGGCATCTGATGCTAGGATGGTAATGGCATCTAGCATCACGATGCTCCGTCTGTTTATGCAAATAGGTATCAGGTGCTTGCCAGCATTGATCAGGCAGCCTCATACCATTATAACTGTTGGTGCCAAAAGTCATTGGCACATCTGGGTACCAGTGATAACCTTTTTGTACCACATCTGCAGCACTGCGTCTCAAGAACCTACCATTTGCATACCTAGTTGCATCACCTTTGCTGCGGAAAATACTGGCAACCCGCAATCTATGTATTCCATCCCTATCATCTTCACAATGCATTCTACTTGTACCCTCCGTCACTCCTTTAGTACCAAACCGTTCATCACCTGACAATAATGCAGCATTTGTCCCAGATTGAGAAGATGGTACACCATCCTTTGACCCACCAACCTTTGCCTGGCTATAAGGCTTTTTCAGATTATGTTTCAGTGCAAGCTTGGCTGGAATCAAATAGCATTCTTCTCCATTCAATTTAAATTTTGTTGCTTTTACAACTAAATTTCTATCTAAATTCATAAATCGATAATATTTCATATTATCATCACATTCATTTCTATCAACTTTAGTTTCTGTTGAGCCAGTGTTCTCTCTAGAAGTTGAGGGTGCATTTGTGTCTATTTTTGTGTAACTGCCAACACTGTGTCCCACACTATTTGGCACAACTGCGTCATTGTCAGTTTTTGGCACATCAACTGGTTCTAGATTAAAATCAAAATTTGCCCCAGATATGCTCAATGGTGCAACAAGATCACCAGTCCATACCTTGATACAGTTTTGAGCATTTGCCAGACTGCTATCATTGTTTTTTGGCACAAGAATCCCAACAGGCTTAACAACTTGAAGAAAAGAATGCCCTTTCCGTGTCACTATTTTAGCCGTTCCCTCTGCAAAAGGGAGAGTGGCACTTGGGTCAATCGTTTGTTTTGTCCCTTGTTTAGCTGGTTCTCCAAGCTGACTATTAAGCAAATTGAAAATGTTTCTTGGCCCTGGTGTCTCCAAAGCTTTAACAGAGGCTGCAGGTGTCTTAGAGTTTTGGGACAAAGTTCTAGTAGTGCCATGAGCTCTTTTTAAATCTGTCAATGGATCTTCAGGTAATGGTTCAGAAGGCAAATCTTCCTTTGTAACCTACAAATAAATTAGGAAATATAGTATTTGAATAGCATGTTTTTCTTAAGGTCTTGTTGGGGGCATGGAGTGGCAGTGGAGGCATGGAGGCTTGGATTAAACAGGCAGCTTTGAAGTATTGCATTCAGCTTTATAGGCAGAAAATTTGGGGTTTCAAAATGTTCATACTTTGTCTGCATTTACTACAAAATTAAAACTTAGTCAATTTTTTCTCAGAATTAAATATCTCAATGAAATATTATACATGCTTATAATAACAAATTGAATAAATAATTAAGAGCTTTGTTTTGTTGAAAAGATATTCTGATTGCAGAATAAGAATATTATATCAGTTAGAAATATCTTACCTTATTTTGATCATGGCAAAATGAAGAATTAGAGAATTCTGGTGTGCAGGGCACTAGTGAAGGATCACTATCTTTTGACAACTGAACTGTTCCATTGTCTCCCAGGGGGACAACTGATTTAGGTGTACCATTATCAAGCAGTGGAACTTCTTGGTTGCTTCCAGATGGCAACTTGTCTCCCATTTTCAAATAAAAATCTGAAATTTGATACAGGGGAGGAAATATAAATAAACTGGCTTCACATAAACACAATTTAATATATTTCAGGCAGATGCACATTTGAGTTCATGTTAGTTCTGCTGCCAAAATTTGAAATTATACACCAAATTTTGCAAGCCCTTGTGATAATAAAGGAGGTTTGTACCGGGAAACACGTCCAAAATCAGTTCACTTGAAACAGATCTCATTAAGATTTAAGTTATGCAGAAAGCGACAAAATTAAACAATCACTTATAATGGTTGGACAATTAAAGGAATTAAATTTTGCAGATAAAACCTGCAATTTTTTTAAAACTCTTGATAACATAGCAAAACTTGATTAATCTTAAGCATATTTATGTTATCAAAATCTTTACCTTAAACCTTGACATACAAATTGCCAATAGAACTAAAATTTAAGAATGTCTCTAAATAAAAAAGCGGAAAATTATATAAAAAATAAGTGAAAGTTGCCTGTTTTTGAAAGTGAAAAAATTTCATTGGATAAGACGTTAGTTTATAAAATAAAAAGATCTTATTTCAGGACAGAAAATAATATTGAATGTACACATTAATGAATTAGTCTGCAAAATGTTCACTGTATATCTTCAAAAAGTTTATTAAAACTTTAATTAAACAGTTTTATTTATTGCAAATTGCAATTTGTAATGCTGAAAGCAAATAATTTCAAGAAAAATTGGAAGTTGAGCGTAATAATAATTGGAACTTGCAGTGTGTTGCGGGCCTCTGAAAACGATAGTTTGACTTAAAATGAGCAACTATTAGCGTTGTGTTTTATTCACATAATAGAACAAAGCAGCTAACAAATTAAATAATTGATGAAATGCTTTATTGTTTTATTATTTCAGAGCGGCCTTACCTTCCTAACAACGCGAGACTGTTTTGTTTTCAAACACACGCCATGCTTGTACTTTTCTCTCTTCTCGTGGGATACTCCCGCCAAAACAGTACTTCATGTTGCTAACACAATTTCGATTCAATTCAGTTCTTGTATCTAAAACAAACTATGGATATCAGAGGAGTTCAGGTTTGAGGGAAGAGGGGATAACAGGGTTATAAGGGGGGGGGGGGAGGTAGTTTGGCAACAGTTTGGGGAAAAAAGGTTTTAAAAAGATTCATTTAAAAATGAAAATCTGATTCTTGGAAAACTTGCTTATACATATCAGCTATAATCTTCGAAAAATGGATTCTCTATCTGTTCCAAAGGGTAAAACTACAAGTTATGGTATAAAATCTATTAGCTTTTTGGGTCCAACAATTTGGAATTCTTTTTTAATTGAAATAAAAATTTTGGAATCAAAGCCCTGCTGCACAATTCGCTTTTCAATATGCACTGCCAATATTTCGAACTTCTTTCAGACTCCCTTAAGGATATTGGAAGTCAAGAGCGGATCTAGAGCAAATTTGGAGAAGGGGCAGTTGGTAGTGGGGGGTGCTGTTAATTTTTCAGAAATTGGTGACGAGTGTACGCTGTATACAACAATTTCAGTCCCTAACCACTGACAGAAGGCTCCCCATTCACCTTGCAAGGGAATTTTCACAATATTTGTTGTATACTTTGAGGTTATCCTTGAAGTAAATTAACCTTTAAGATAACTTTTCACCTGATTCTCATTCTTCAAAAGGGGGGCACAATTTCTAAAAAGGGGGCGCCAGACTTGCTTCAACTCGGCGAGGGAGGGGCAACTGCCCCTAGTTGCCCCCCCTTAAATCCGCCACTGTCAGAAAGTACTAATTGGGTGGCAATTACCTGGGCGGCAAGCAACCCCTGTCCCCCGCCCCCTTCTCAAAATGAACTTCACTATTTCGTTCCGGTAACAGTGGATTCCCTTGCTGTATTTTTGATATTAACAAGAATCTATTTTACCAGCGATATTAGGAATATATTGACTTGTCTGGCCCTCTCACGGTCCTTTATTTGTTGTTGTCTCAGAATTTCGATACAGAAAAACAGACATCTTTGTCTGATATAAGAAAATTGCATGGTGATGGCTCGTTAGCACCTCTGACGTCGGGAGTTGTTCCAAGGGGATAATTGCATATCGGCAGTTGTCGAATCGAAAGTGTTAATGGCGAAGGGGAGGAGATATTTGCCTCATGTTAAGTGATAATATCTCCGTTTTGGTTTGATTGGCCAGAAACTGAGGGAAGTTGGAAATGGTGACCAAGGAGAGAAGTCATGGTGGCGGAGGTGATCATGATTATTATTATGATTTAGTGATCACGATTATGATCATGACTTTGATTTGATGATTATGATTTGGGGAGACCCTTTCGTGATCATATGATTATTTTCAATATCATGATTCTTATGAATAGCTCCAGACAGAAGAAATTAATGAACAAGATTAGCTGTTAGTTATTAATTTCTATAATGATCAATACAATTTTTCGCCATCATCAGACCATTTCAGAAACAGACGATTGACAGAAAAATGTTCTTCCTCGCTTTTCTTATTGATTTTTGCGCATTAAAATTGCTTTGCTTGAAGGCTATTTAATACTAAACACTTTTTGCAGTAGTCTCTTACTGTAAACCCAAGCTGGCCAATTGCAAAATGCTTCTGTATTAGTAAGATTTGTAGCTGCAGCTCAAACAAACATCGCAAAGCAGTAAGAAAAATGAGGGGTCTACAAAAAGTTGGGGGAGGGCGGGGGCAAAACCGAAAAATAAGGCTTTAATGGTGCTTCCTCTCGAGGGGCAATCACTCTAAGAAAATCTCGTACACCTTTCGTGAAAATCCTATTGTTTTGTCTGAAAATCCCCAAAAATCCTTTTGTTTTAGGCAAAATCTCGTACGCTATTTGCAAGAGTGAATCGCCCCTGGCTTCCTCTCCTAAAAATTTAAACTATCCTTTCGTGGTACAAAACTTTGAAAAGAGCAAACTTTTCGCCCGACACTTTTCAGAGTACAAAGCCATTTCTCAATTGTTTGCATTGTTTCAAAAAGCAGGGAGCTAAAGCCCCCACAGCCCCTTTCTCCGGAGTGCCTGAGCTTAACTCGAACAAAAGATGAAATGTTTCCATCATTATTACCAAAGTTAAATGCTGCTCAGGTCAGACGCAGCGGTGGACAGAAATAGAAACTTAATGTTTTGACATTGCGAATATAAGAACGGTTTCCCTAAGCCGCGGCAAAGCTGTTAGCGATATATCCTTTATTCTCAGCTTACAAAAAATCAGTTGATTATATGGGACATCAGATCGGATTCTGTGTCGATTAACAATGACACGATAGATTAGGGATACACCATGTCATCTGACCGAGATTCAAGGACAATAGACACACGGAAAATGTCGGACCACGAGGGGTTAGAAATTTCAGATTTCATTACCAAACATTTTTACAGCGTGCTTATTCACTTATTGTCATAAATATAAAGAAGAATGAAAACATTGTAATAAGAGCATCCTTGAGTCTTGCTAAGGACACTGAGATAAACCTGAAAGGTTATCGACTCCAGTGCCCTTTTACATACGCTCGTGATATAAATACCTTAAGATGCGCTAGGATAGTTCGAGCCTTTTCGTAACACATTATTGACCTTGGGTGAAGAGCCAGAGGGTTCAGGGGGCTGAAACCCCCTTGCTATTCCCCAACGTCATCTACATCTTGCTTCTTTTTTAGAAACATTTCGAAGCCCCCTCCTGTCTTTGCATACGCACCCCTGAGGCTTATTGCTATAAATAGATAAAAAAGGTACACATAACCCTTAAATAATTTCCCTAAATAAAATATACAAACAATCTTTTGGTGGTACAAAACTTGAAAATGGCTTTGAAAAAAGCAAACATTTAGTAAACTAAAGCTTTCACAACTGGGTATATAAATTTCCTAGCGTAGAGTTTTCGGTCTTTGTTCTGACGTTTAGTTCTAACAAAAAAGCTTTAGTTTACTAAATGTTTGCTTTTTCTACATGAAATAGCAATTGGCCACTACCAACGGACCTGCCCGCCCCTCCCAAGCCCACCTTCTTGAACACATCTAGCTAAACGATTTATATCATTTCAAGACCCTGGTACCTCCAATGGGTAATACAAGGCTTGATTTTAAAACTGGGATAGAGGTACCAATACTTTGTTGGTAATTTCGTAGTAGTTTGATTCAAACAAGACTCTAGATTTGGCACGAATCGGTGAAATGGGGGCTAGGGAGCAGCTTCACCCTTCGATATGATTATTATGTTGGCAGTTTCTATGCAAAGAGCCCCATTTCTTTGCCCTTCAACGCCAAAGAAGAAACAAAATTAAGTCTATTACAATGTTTCTGCGATTTTTTTCCAACTTTGGTGTCCATTGCATGATATTCCAGTCCGTGTTTTAGACTGTATTCAGACACCAATACAATAAGCTATAAGTGCCTCCTTTGGGTGGTATAAAACACACTTCTTGGTTACACAGTAACAAAACACAGGTCCCCAGGTTAAGAGGCACACGACGCTGGGAGAGAAGGCACAGACTGAAGTTCAACGGTTGACAAAGAAGATTGGTAGAGCTGTTTGACTCTCTGGGTCTGTGATTACGCCAAGTTGGAAATTGAGAGTTTTTTGGTTGGACGAAACAGCCTGGAGAACTGAGAACGAAAGACGTCATCTGGCCAGTGAGAGGAAATCGCAGCTACGGATTGAGCGCGTTGGTGCATCAGCAGGGAGAGCCTGGTTGTTTGAAGGGCATGCAGCAATAGGCGAGCTTGCAAAGAAATTGTTTGCCCTTGCATAATCAAGAGGAGGTTTAGTTAGCTGAGACTTTGGGAAAGTGAAGATCGAGGTCTGAAGTGAGATTGTGTCAAGAAATGGATACATTAAAGTGCATTTTACTTATTTTCGGCAGCATTTTAGCCAGTTCTCAAGGCTTGCGTATGCTGAACTTCAACTCAAAATGCGAGGATCTGCGTGCCACTATGTGCCAAGATTTGCCATACAACCAAACCTTTTTCCCCAACAGTTTAAACCATCTGAGCCAGTATGAAGCCATCCAATTCTTCAAACAGTTCCACGCTCTCATCAAGATCAAATGCTACGAGGACATCAAACTCTTCTTGTGCTCCTTGTTTTTTCCAATTTGCACCAAAATCAACGAACCCATACTTCCGTGCAGGACCTTGTGCAAGAAAGCAAGAAAAGGTTAGTTGCATTTATGACTACCTCAACCATAACTTCAATTATTTCCTCGGCTTGTGAATAACTTCTTTAATTTGATGCTACCCAAAAGTTTGAGAATTATCGTAATTTTGCATCAAGTTTCTTGTTCTATTCGAGCTGTGCTCAAAGCGAGTCTCTCATAACCAGGATGGCAGTTTTATCCAGAACCGTGTCATTTAAAGTTATTCCCTACACACCAACTGCAAATTAAAAAATGAAAAATGGAATAACATCGCATGCTATCAGTCCAAAATTAAAATTGCCTCTTCTGAACATGTGCACGCGTTTGAATCTAATAGATCGAATCTAAAGTGTGACAAAATATGTGGAATTAGTACGTAATCGCTTTAATTCACAATTCTGTGGTAAGACTATCAGAGTCAGTGATCAGGATTTCAGACTAGAAACTTTGTTCCTCCATGGGGGAAAAGGAAACTAGGGGCTGAGTGAAAGGGAGCTGTGGGCAAGCCCCAATTGTAGCAACAAGCATCCAGATTTTATTCTTTATAACCCCCGATCTTTGAAGTTCGAGGGGACCGCTGGAACAACGTTTTTCAGCAAATGCGGGAGAGGGGCCAGGGTTGGGGGTTGCTTCTAGGCTTGTTAAGAGAGTCTGTAGGCATTGTCAACGATGTTATTGGTACCTTTTGTTGTCCAGTAGAGGAAACAAGGATTCTTTGCAGTTTGTTGCGATTAATTCACTGTTTTCGGCAGGTAAATTAAATTTTAAGCTGGTGAACGGTAAATTTCACGAATGATGTAGCGTAAATCATAGGGTACAAGTTGATGTTCAAATGCTCGTAGAGAATAGAAAAGGGTCAAAATTCATTCACATCATCTTTTACTGATATCAAAAGTATTAAGATTTACATTGATAAAGTGGATCGAAACAGATACAAATTTATGCCTCAAACAAACTCAT